TCATGTAAATACCTCCTCTTTAATACCCCACTGAGTCTTTAATACCCCACAGAGTCTTTAATGCCCCACAGAGTCTTTAATGCCCCACAGAGTCTTTAATGACCCACAGAGTCTTTAATGCCCCACAGAGTCTTTAATGCCCCACTGAGTCTTTAATGCCCCACAGAGTCTTTAATGCCCCACAGAGTCTTTAATGCCCCACAGAGTCTTTAATACCCCACAGAGTCTTTAATACCCCACAGAGTCTTTAATGCCCCACAGAGTCTTTAATGCCCCATTGAGTCTTTAATGCCCCACAGAGTCTTTAATGCCCCACAGAGTCTTTAATGCCCCCAGACTTTTTAATACCCCACAGAGTCTTTAATACCCCACAGAGTCTTTAATACCCACAGAGTCTTTAATACCCACAGAGTCTTTTAATGCCCCACAGAGTCTTTAATACCCCACAGAGTCTTTAATACCCCACAGAGTCTTTAATACCCACAGAGTCTTTAATACCCACAGAGTCTTTAATGCCCCACAGAGTCTTTAATACCCCACAGAGTCTTTAATACCCCACAGAGTCTTTAATACCCACAGAGTCTTTAATGCCCCACAGAGTCTTTAATACCCCACAGAGTCTTTAATACCCACAGAGTCTTTAATGCCCCACAGAGTCTTTAATACCCCACTGAGTCTTTAATGCCCCACAGAGTCTTTAATACCCCACAGAGTCTTTAATGCCCCACAGAGTCTTTAATACCCCACAGAGTCTTTAATACCCACAGAGTCTTTAATGCCCCACAGAGTCTTTAATACCCACAGAGTCTTTAATACCCCACAGAGTCTTTAATGCCCCACAGAGTCTTTAATACCCCACAGAGTCTTTAATACCCCACAGAGTCTTTAATGCCCCACAGAGTCTTTAATACCCCACAGAGTCTTTAATGCCCCACAGAGCCCCACAGAGTCTTTAATGCCCCACTGAGGTAAATGCCCCTCCTCTTTGGCCTCTGTAACATTATGTAAGTGTGGGTTTCCTCTGCGTTATCAGTCCTGGCTCTGGTCCAAGTCCCGGTCTGGGTCCAGGTCCAGGTCTGGGTCCAGGTCCAGGTCTGGGTCCAGGTCCAGGTCTGGGTCCAGGTCCGGGTCCGGGTCCAGGTCCGGGTCCGGGTCAAGGTCCAGGTCTGGGTCCAGGTCCGGGTCCGGGTCCAGGTGTGGGTCCGGGTCCAGGTCTGGGTCCGGGTCCAGGTGTGGGTCCGGGTCCAGGTCCGGGTCCAGGTCCAGGTCCAGGTCTGGGTCCGGGTCCAGGTCTGGGTCTGGGTCTGGGTCTGGGTCCGGTCCAGGTCCGGGTCCAGGTCCAGGTCCGGTCCAGGTCCAGTCCAGGTCCAGGGTCCAGGTCCAGGGTCCAGGTCCAGGTCTGGGTCCAGGTCTGGGTCCAGGTCCAGGTCTGGGTCCAGGTCCGGGTCCAGTCCAGGTCCAGGTCCAGGTCCAGGTCCAGGTCGGGTCCAGGTCGGTCCAGGTCCAGGTCTGGGTCCAGGTCTGGGTCCGGTCAGGTCCAGGTCCAGGTCTGTCCGGTCCGGGTCCAGTCTGGTCCAGGTCTGGTCCAGGTCTGGGTCCAGGTCCAGGTCCAGGTCCGGTCCGGTCCAGGTCCAGGTCCGGGTCCGGGTCAAGGTCCAGGTCTGGGTCCAGGTCTGGGTCCAGGTCTGGGTCCAGGTCTGGGTCCAGGTCCGGGTCCAGGTCTGGGAGAGTCTGGTTTGATTGATTTCAGTGGAGTTAAAAGTGCATTCGTCAAAACCGTTTCCCTTTGGTGATTTACAAAAACACTTCAGACGAACAGACGCACGAGAGCCAAATGTTCCAGACACACGCAGAGGTTTAGTCCTGGTTTAGTCCTGGTTTAGTCCTGGTTTAGACCTGGTTTAGTCCTGGTTTAGTCCTGTTTAGTCCTGGTTTAGTCCTGGTTTAGTCCTGGTTTAGTCCTGGTTTAGACCTGGTTTAGTCCTGGTTTAGTCCTGGTTTAGTCCTGGTTTAGTCCTGGTTTAGTCCTGGTTTAGTCCTGGTTTAGTCCTGGTTTCCTGGTTTAGTCCTGGTTTAGTCCTGGTTTAGTCCTGGTTTAGTCCTGGTTTAGTCCTGGTTTAGTCCTGGTTTACCTGGTTTACCTGGTTTACCTGTTTAGTCCTGGTTTAGACCTGTTTAGTCCTGGTTTAGTCCTGGTTTAGTCCTGGTTTAGTCCTGGTTTAGACCTGGTTTAGTCCTGGTTTAGACCTGGTTTAGTCCTGGTTTAGTCCTGGTTTAGTCTGGTTTAGTCTGGTTAGACCTGTTTAGTCCTGTTTGTTTAGACTGTTTAGTCCTGGTTTAGTCCTGTTTACCTGGTTTAGTCCTGTTTACCTGGTTTAGTCCTGGTTTAGTCCTGGTTTAGACCTGGTTTAGTCCTGGTTTAGTCCTGGTTTAGACCTGGTTTAGTCCTGGTTTAGACCTGGTTTAGACCTGGTTTAGTCCTGGTTTTAGTCCTGGTTTAGTCCTGGTTTAGTCTGTTTAGTCCTGGTTTAGTTCTGGTTTAGTCCTGGTTTAGTTCTGGTTTAGTCCTGGTTTAGTCAGAGGTGGGACCAAGTCGTTGTTTTGTGAGTCTCAAGTCTTTGACCTCAAGTCCGGGTCAAGTCCCAAGTCAAATCTGGTCAAATCCAAGTTGAGTCACTGGTCCATAAGTCCAAGTCCAGTCCAAGTCCAGTCCAAGTCCAGTCCAAGTCCAGTCCAAGTCCAGTCCAAGTCGTCTGCTTTGAGCTTCAAGTCTATAAACCAAAGTCCCAAATTCAGCTTCATTTTCTACCATTTAAATGAATTTTAAACTAAATTGTTTTTTAAAATTTCAGGTTTATTTATATTTGAGTCTTTATATATGAGTTGTAAAAAATTTCCATTTTTAAATGTTTTGACAAAATCTTAGTGTGAATCATGAGAATAACAAGAATAAAAATTTAAAAGTGTTAAAAACTGTGATTTTATCCTAAAGTCTGAACTGAACTGGAAGAATCATGTTTTTGTGTATTTCCCCCTTTGTCCTTTCTTGTACTTTATATTACTGCATTGTACTTTATATTACTTTATAGTACTTTATATTACTGCAGTAAATCACAGTACTTCAGTTTCATCAAAAGTACAAACAGACGTGTGGGGAAATGTTCCAGTTTGTTTCTTTAAAATGAATCACTGCATTTATCAACAGAAAAGACAAAAGTATTTTACAAATACAAGTATAAATATAAATATTTTTTAGGAGAAACATCAAAAAGCATCAAGTCACAGGCCTCAAGTCCGAGTCAAGTCCCAAGTTTTAGTCCATTTTATCAAGTTAAGTGACTCAAGTCTAACTCAAGTCCAAGTCATGACTTGTAAGTCCACACACCTGTCTGTTTAGACCTGGTTTAGACCTGGTTTAGACCTGGTTTAGACCTGGTTTAGTCCTGGTTTAGACCTGGTTTAGACCTGGTTTAGACCTGGTTTAGTCCTGGTTTAGTCCTGGTTTAGACCTGGTTTAGACCTGGTTTAGTCCTGGTTTAGTCCTGGTTTAGTCCTGGTTTAGTCCTGGTTTAGTCCTGGTTTAGACCTGGTTTAGACCTGGTTTAGTCCTGGTTTAGACCTGGTTTAGTCCTGGTTTAGACCTGGTTTAGACCTGGTTTAGTCCTGGTTTAGACCTGGTTTAGTCCTGGTTTAGTCCTGGTTTAGACCTGGTTTAGTCCTGGTTTAGTCCTGGTTTAGTCCTGGTTTAGACCTGGTTTAGTCCTGGTTTAGGTTTAGTCCTGTTTAGTTTTTAGACCTGGTTTAGTCCTGGTTTAGACCTGGTTTAGACCTGGTTTAGTCCTGGTTTAGACCTGGTTTCCTGGTTTACCTGTTTAGACCTGGTTAGTCCTGGTTTTAGTCCTGGTTTAGTCCTGGTTTAGTCCTGGTTTAGTCCTGGTTTTAGTCCTGGTTTAGTCCTGGTTTAGTCCTGGTTTAGTCCTGGTTTAGACCTGGTTTAGTCCTGGTTTAGTCCTGGTTTAGACCTGGTTTAGTCCTGGTTTAGACCTGGTTTAGACCTGGTTTAGTCCTGGTTTAGACCTGGTTTAGTCCTGGTTTAGTCCTGGTTTAGTCCTGGTTTAGTCCTGGTTTAGTCCTGGTTTAGACCTGGTTTAGTCCTGGTTTAGACCTGGTTTAGACCTGGTTTAGTCCTGGTTTAGACCTGGTTTAGTCCTGGTTTAGTCCTGGTTTAGACCTGGTTTAGACCTGGTTTAGACCTGGTTTAGTCCTGTTTAGTCCTGGTTTAGTCCTGGTTTAGTCCTGGTTTAGTCCTGGTTTAGTCCTGGTTTAGTCCTGGTTTAGTCCTGGTTTAGACCTGGTTTAGTCCTGGTTTAGTCCTGGTTTTGAGGGTGAGCGGGGAGACTTACTGAGAGGAGGTTGGTAGTTTGATTCTTGTTCTCGTCGTCTGCTCACACGACTTCCTGTTTGTGAAATATGAAGGTGCTAAACTGTAAACTGAACCGGAAGGATGTGGTCTGTGTGCACCGATTTGTGCCGATCTGGGCCCCGTCTGTGCCCAACCGTGCCCACGTGAGCCGCAGTATGACAGAGCCACGCCTCGATGTTCCGCACTAGGGCATTAAACACACTTATCTCACATTTGTTCAGTTCAATTTCTTTAAAAATCATTAAAAATTCTGTAGGAGTGAGTGGGGTCGCCTCTCCACAGATCTGACCTGGAGAGGGCCTGACGCACATGTGGGCGTGTGTACGGGCCTCTGACACACATGTGGGCGTGTGCACGGGCCTCTGACACACATGTGGGCGTGTGCGAGGGCCTCTGACACACATGTGGGCGTGTGCACGGGCCTCTGACACACATGTGGGCATGTGCACGGGCCTCTGACACACATGTGGGCGTGTGCGAGGGCCTCTGACACACATGTGGGCGTGTGCACGGGCCTCTGACACATGTGGGCGTGTGAACGGGCCTCTGACACACATGTGGGCGTGTGCACGGGCCT